AAACTCTTCAGCCAATAAGGGCAAAGGTGTGTCGTCATTTGGCGGTTCCATTTTGTGCAGCCAGGTGAGAGGTCGAAGTGCATCTAACCGTAATGTATTGCGTCAGGATCTGCAACGCACTCAATGACCGGACTGGGGAAACAAACTGAAACGCGGACTTAATACAGAGGACTAATAACAACAACCAGAAATAGTTGATCACATGTGCACGCGCCTGTTTGATAGCCTGGCGCCGCTGAGTCATGTGACAGCTGGGAACGACATTTGAGAGCAGTAGCGCATTCGGGAGAGAGATTGAAACTGAAGCATCGATCTCATTAAACTGGTATCGATCAATATCAATACCAACATTATTATCGATATTATCGATACTTGGATCCATCCGCCCACCACTACTGATCACACTGTCGGGGCTTATTTCTGCGATAACTACCGGCTGCCTGTACATTATCCCTTGCATAACCCCTGGTCGATACAACCTTACCACTCTGCTAACCCATTTTATTTTACAGTGCTGTGAAAACACTGTTTTAGGCTACTCCGTGACTTGTGATTGAAAAATTGACTTAGAGTAAGTGATTACACAATCAGCTGAAATTTCATATCCTGTCTAATGCAAGAACGTTTCAGATCAGAAGTAAAATTGAACCATTTATTTTCGGAAGTATATAAAATGTTTGTATCATAATGTAATCCTGAAGCGTCACGGAGTGGTCAAATCACTCGTAGTTTATCTTGTTTTGACTCCCAAATCGTTTATATTATGAACACACATTAGAATTTAATAACTGAAGGCTGAGTTTTAACTTTTTTTTTTAAAACGTTTTACGTATATTTTATGTAACATTAATGTTATGACTTGTTACACTGAGGGAATCTGGGTTTTCACTGAGTATGAAGCGATTATCTATTCTTACCCGTTGTTTAAAATCATTTGGCCTATATAGTATGTTTGGTATCTTTTTATTAAATTGATCAATTATAATCATGTTAATTTGTGTATTGAAAGAAGTTTGACAGTAATCAGTGCTTAGTACTGCTGTAAGGTAAACACTGCCAGGTTACAATATTTCAAAATGGTTAACGGTTGAGAATATTCATTCATAATTTAGAAAAGTAATCAAATGTAATTAGTTACATTACTTTCATATAGTAATTGAAATAGTTACTCTATTTAAAATGTTATAGTAGTGTAACTTGTAATTGTAACGAATAACATTTCCAAAGTAATCGTCCCAACACTGGTGGTACTGTACTTCAACATTTAAAGCAGTAGATATCGAAAACACAACATTGAACAAACTAGACGAGGTGATGATTAGTTTTTGCCGGTATTTGCCATTAAGAGTAGCACAGGATGTAGATGTGGAAATAGTTACTTGTGTCTCACCTGTGCAGATGACTCCAGCATCATGTTCATGACCACAGTTATGTTTGCCCCAGCCTTCTGATCTACACTCCTTCAGTGTTGACTCTGATCCAATGCAGGACACCTCATCCATCCAGATGTGTCCTTTTCCAGGCCCGAAGTCACCATAGTGTCGTACCACTGCAGACTCCCCACAGAACAGCTGTCTACACACCACTGTAGCATCAATCTCATCCCAGTCATCACCACACACTGTGCCCCACTGTCCATGATAAAGAACCTCCACTCTCCCAGCACAGGGACTGTCACCATCCACCAGCCTCACACCATCACTGTCTGAAAGCAAAGGAGAATCATTTGTTGTAATGGTTTTGCATTTATTTTAAATAACCTATAAATATTTATATTTAATTAGAAATAATTACTTTCAACTAAGAAATAAATGATATGTCAAACACAAAGGTAACAGAATCACACCTCCACTGCATCCTGTTTTAGGTATTAATTTCATTGTAACCTGACTGCTACCTATGTTTAATGTGTTTAGTCAGGAGGTGGTGTGTGACTCAGAGGGTAAAGACTCCTAGCTATGTCTGAAAAATTGCTGGTTTGATTCTGTCCCCAGCAGATCAATCGCAAAACCATTAGGCTCTTGAGGGGGTGACTAGGGACAATTGGTGAACATGGTCAGTTGTTGAACAAATGTCTCAAAGAAGTGAATATTATCACATTTAAAGTGACTTGGCATTTAATTGTGTTAAAAGTTTGTTCAGCAACTGATCTAGGCTTGAATGTTATTAAAGTAATATGATATACCGTGGTACTTTAAGTATATTTGTTTTTGAGCATTTATCAGCAAAATTTATCATAGGGGACCCCAGTGGACTGTCTAGCTGTTGAAAAGATCAGGGGCTAAGTCAAGTTTACCTGGGGCTTGACTTTTTGTTTTTGAAGGAAGATTAGCATTGGGGCTAAAATACTCGGGGCTCGGCTTAGAGTACCCGAGGCCCGGCTTAAAATACTCGGGGCTCGGCTTAGAATACCCGAGGCCCGGCTTAAAATACTCGGGGCTCGGCTTAGAATACCCGAGGCCCGGCTTAAAATACTCGGGGCTCGGCTTAGAATACTTGGGGCTCGGCTTAGAATACTCGGGGCTATAGCCCCAAGTGATCGGACCTAACGACGCCCATGGGGGACCCCCTTGTGGCCAAATTTTATTGCCAAGATTTTGAAATACCAGAAGATCGTTGCATTTGAAAATACTATTGAAATACAGTATGATGTCAGGACAGTATAACATTATGTAAAATTAGATACTAACCAAGCCTAAACTGACCCTGTTTGTCAATTGTCCCCTAATCTCACCTGAAACATTAGTGCTCCGAGGGAAGCTGAACACTGAGTGACTGCCTTACTGGAGACCAAGGATTGTGACGCATAAGAATCAGAATTTTAGACACAGGGATTAATAAAGTACAAAAATAATAATTATTAAAAAACATTGCTTAGCAAGCCGGATAGTATATATTGCTACTTAAAGCAAGTTTTGTCTGGACACTAGGCCAGTCATTGCCTGTCGGTATACTGAGTTGTGTGGCATTAACCTGCATGCTTATCTTCATGTTTCCTTTCCAAATAATGATAGGAATTGAAAGTCATGCCATATGCATCCCTCAGTCTGCTTCTTTTTGCTGAATGTCTTGTGCAGAAACTCATGGTTTATGTTACAAACAGGATAACTGCTGACTTNCACTTAAAGATCACTCAGGGATGTCCAGAAAATGCTCTGCTACTCATGTGAACTTCATTCAGTTACTGGTGTTGGGAGAGAAGAACAATCTGCATTTAAAGGTTATGTGGGAGGAACAGTTTGTGTGGCATCCAATGAGTGTCACTGTTTTCCTGAAACCCAGTGAGAAACTGTAAAGAAACCCAGAATCGTATGACAATCAGCTTCGGAGAGAACATGGTATCCATACCGGATACTTGTTTCAACCAGGTATTTGGCTTATCCCTAATAAATACTATACTTTGAAAATCTAAAGAAGAATACCATGTATCACGACATGTATTATACAAGCATGTTATCAAAATAGCACAATTACACAGAAACACTTTAGTAACATTATAAGTGAATTATGCATGTGTGATACTGTACTTCAACTTTTAAAGGCAATAGGTATTGAAAACACAATATTGAACAAACTAGAAGAGGTGATGATTAGTTTTTGCCAGTATTTGCCATTAAGAGTAGCACAGGATGTAGATGTGGAAATAGTTACTTGTGTCTCACCTGTGCAGATGACTCCAGCATCATGTTCATGAGCACAGTTATGTTTGCCCCAGCCTTCTGATCTACACTCCTTCAGTGTTGACTCTGATCCAATACAGGACACCTCATCCATCCAGATGTTCCCTGTTCCAGGCCCAAAGTTACCATATCGTCGTACCACTGCAGCCTCCCCACAGAACAGCTGTCTACACACCACTGTAGCATCAATCTCATCCCAGTCATCACCACACACTGTGCCCCACTGTCCTTGATAAAGAACCTCCACTCTCCCAGCACAAGGACTGCTTCCATTCACCAGCCTCACACCATCACTGTCTGAAAGCAAAGGAGAATCATTTGTTTTAATGGTTTTGCAGTTATTTTTAACAAATCTATAAATATTTATATAACATTAGAAATAATTACTTTCAACTAAGAAATAAATGATATGTCAAACACAAAGGTAACAGAATCACACCTCCACTGCATCATGTTTTAGGTATTAATTTCATTGTAACATGACTGTATCCTGCTGATCACATTTAAAATTGGTTCTGAAACCAAAGAATGTGCTTAAGACAAAACAAAGTTCATATTAAAGGCTTTTTTAATTACACAGTGGAGTCACATCATTTTTGTAACTTCCAAGCTAATAGCTACCATCAGCAAACATATAGCATCACTGATTTTAAAATATGCCCCAATAACTTCATTTAAGCATGTAGCTACCTACGTTTAATGTGTTTAGTCAGAAGGTGGTGTGTAACTCAGAGGGTAAAGACTCCTATGTCTGAAAAATTGCTGGTTTGATTGATCTGCCCCAGCAGATCAATGACAAAACCATTAGGCTCTTGAGGGGGTGACTAGGGACAATTGCTGAACATGGTCAGTTGTTGAACAAATGTCACATCAAAGAAGTAAATTTTGCACATATGCAATAACTCCTTATCACATTTAAAGGGACTGATTTCTTGGCATTTAATTGTGTTATAGGTTTGTTTGGCAGTTCATCTAGACTTGGACGTTAAAGCAATATGATATACCATGGTACTTTGGGTTAATAAATTTTTTAGCATTTATCAGCAAAATTCATCATGCCCAACCACCCCCCCCACCCCCCCGGTGGGCAAATTTTATTGCCAAGATTTTAAAATATCAGAACATTCCTGCATTTGAAAATACAATAGAAATACAGTATAATGTCTGGACAGTATAACATTATGAAAAATTAGATACTAACCAAGCCTAAACTGACCCTGTTTGTCAATTGTCCCCTAATCTCGCCTGAAACATTAGTGCTCCGAGGGAAGCTGAACACTGACTGACTGCCTTACTGGAGACCAAGGATTGTGACGCATAAGAATCAGAATTTCAGACACAGGGATTAATAAAGTACAAAAATAATAATTATTAAAAAACATTGCCTAGAGAGCCGGATAGTATATTGCTACGTAAAGCTAATTTTGTCTGGACACTAGGCCAGTCATTGCCTGTCGGTATACTGAGTTGTGTGGCATTAACCTGCATGCTTATCTTCATGTTTCCTTTCCAAAT